CCTCCCTGAGCACACAGCAGCTCTCAGCCTGGGGTGGGCAGAGCAGATGGAGAAGAGGGTTGCAGAGGAGGCCATTCCTAGGGGAAGCAAGGACGTGTCTGGTGGCCAGGCAACTGAGGTCCCCATCTCTTTTTTTCTCTTTCAGGCATTGGCGTTTGTAGGCGGTGACCTGCCCCTTCTTTGGCCTTGCCAAGAGTCTCATCCCTGCCTGGGGGCACCTCTGGCCCTGGACTTGCCTGGGCAGAGGCAGCGTGAAGGACGTGAACAGGAGAAGAAGGGCCTTCCTAGTAGAGGCACAGCATGGACAAAGGCTCACGGGGTGGGGGTGCCCAGGGATGGAGTCCTGGCTTGGGAAGGAAGGTCTGAGTTCCCTGGGAACTGAGATCTGCTGGCAGCACTGTGAGAGGTGAATTTCCCCCTTCTAATGTCAGAGGAAACTGAGGCTTCGGGGGGGGGGGTTGCCCTTGATACACAGATAGGAGGAGGAGGAACTGCGTGTGCCCCTGGGCCTGCAGGCCCCCACACCCCTCCCCAGTCTTCTCCAAGACCTGGCATGGTGGGAGGAGGGAAGGGGAAGTGGAGAGGGAAGCATAGGGCTCCTGGGGCACCAAGGGAGAAAGGGGCCTAGGGTATGGAATCTGGGGATCTCACTTTCTTTGGAGCAGTACAGAAGGTCACAGGGAAGATCAGGAGGACAGACAGCCGAGATGGGAGACAGAAGAGATGGGCCCCAGGACCCCTGGGGAGCCAAGCTCTCCCCCACAGCCTAACCTCCCCACCCCACCTGGAGCTTCACCAAGGGCTCCTCAGCAGTGCAGTGGCACAAGCCTCCCAGTTTGGTGGGCAAGTGGGGGTGATCTTGGTGTTGTGGCTCCTGGAGACACACATAACCAGGAGGGTGAAAGGATAAACTTGGGGTATGCTGGGGCTGAGACCCATGGCATGACCCCAATTCTCTCTCCTCAAGTTCGACCCCCCATCCCCAGGATCACACAGGAGAATCTCATCTCACGGCTTGGATTGGTCCTGGGGGCCCCCGGGTGTGCTGCTAGCCGGTGTACAATGGTCAGGAGCAGCCCAGAGGGGAGCCAGGAAGAGACCCTCGCCCTCACCCTCTTTCCCCATTTCCCCATCTCTTGCACTGGTACCCCGAGGGCCACGTTCTCAGTTCCTGGGACTGAAAACTGCAGCAGTCTGGCCAGCTCCAGGGACAGAGTGGCCCAGCCACCTACCATGTACCCTCCTCAGCTGCCCACTGGACTCAGGTCCTGCATGAAGCTGTCCTCCTGCCTCACCCCAGAAGAGGCTGGACAGTGACTGCCTTGTGCCCCTTGCAGTCTTCCACATCCAGGGCCTGATGACGTGCCTCCTTGTCCCAAGTTTCATGGGAACCCCTGACCCTGCTGGCCCCTCTCATCTACCCCAACCCTGTCCACCCTGGACCACCTCCGGGGGCCTGTCAGCCTGCTGGTCCCCCCAACAGATCTTTGGGGGCAGCCTCTATAGGACAAGAGTGACACAGGGCTAGAGGAGTGAGGAGCCTCCTTTTGTCTGATGCACAGATGTGGCCCTTTCAAACCCTGGTGTCACCCTCTGGGTGACTGGATCCCCAGCTCCACCCTCTTCCTGGGCCAGCCAGGAAGGATGGAGGAAAGCTCTTTGCTGAGTGCATGTGTGGGAGTGTGGGGGGTGACTGAGCCCTCCCATGCAAGGGGCTCGGCCTGGGACCCTGGAACCTGCTTCCCTACTGGGAGAAATGTGCATCAGAGCTGCAGGGGTCCCTACCCTAAGAGACCCCCAACTGCAGGGAGCCCCACCCCGTAAGAGGGGCACGGAAGTCCATGTCCGCCCACCCCCGGTGGCTCCTGGTGTGGCTGTATTGGCCTAGAGGGGCTGGCTGGGGAGGGGCAGGGCCAAGCCCTCAGCATCTGCTCCTGTCCCTGCTTTTTCACGCCTGCTGCCTGAAGTGGTAGCTCCGCCTGCTGCTTCTCCACCTCCTCTCCCCACCTCTTCTCTCCCCGATGGGGCCCTTGCTGCGTGATGGGGTCTCCATGCACTTTATTTATTTGCAGTCTGTTTTCCAGGCAGTGGAGCTTCTAGACACCGACCGGAATGACATACTTTTCTGTGTGTGATTCACTGTGTACTGGTCAGCACAGGCTGGCCAGAGACATGTTCTTGTTTCTGGTGTTGTCACGTCTTCTTGTTTTCTCTAAGTTAAAAAAGAAAAAAAAAAAGTCCTTGGTTTAATACACTAAAATCCCAACTGGAGGCCTCCCGTGTCTGGTGGGGGTGATGCAGTGGCCCTGGGTGGAGAGAGGCCCCATGGTGAGGTCACCGGCTCCCATGGCCAGGAGCTGGCAGGGAGAAGCCTCTGGAGGCTAGGGCTGGGGGAGGCTGTAGCAGGCTGTGGCGGGGACCATGTTTCCTGTTCAGAGGCTGTGCTGAGACCCGACTTGACCCGGGCCACTGCCCCATGAGAAGCAGGCAGCAGCCTATCCTGGCCCCGAGAGGTAGCTGCTTGTCCTGTTGACAACCTTTGTTCAAACGATCCAAAACATAAGTCCCCTTCCGTTTTAGCGTCTGGTGATCAAAAGTGTCTAAGTCAGTAGAATCCTGAGGGTGGACTAAGGTGAAGTGAACTGAAATGACGCAGGTCATTTTGTGTAGCACTGAGACTCCTCTCCTTGCCTGAGGCCACCTCCCACTGCCTCCCTACCAGCAAGGTTACTTCAGAATCTTGGAGAAGATAAAGGACCTGGCCCTGGAAGCCTGCTTCCCTTTCCCAATGTTGGAGGCAAACTCTGGCCCATCAGAGCCCCCTTTCCTAGTGGCTCCCGCCGGAGAGCGCTTCCTAGTGGCTGCTATAAGCGTTGGCAAACAGGCAGAAGGCGGGGGAGGGAGGGCGGAGGGTAGTATTAGAGGAAGCCCCACAGGGCCCCGGTGGGGAGGCATCCTGAGGACACAGGGCTATGCTCAGATTCAGGAGTAGCCTGGGTTTAGAGGCCCTGGGGGCACTCCTGTTGCCAAGGGCTACCCAGGGGTCAGAGCACCCTGACAAGGAGGAGTCATCCAAAAGCACTGGTGCTAATGCCCTATGGCATCTGCCACCACAGGAGAAATGGACCCCAGTCCTTAAGCTTCCCTCCCCTTTGTCTAGATGGTCCTCTTCATCCCCACTCCATGGATCACATGACTTGGCAAACCAAGATGGGAAATGATCCCCCCAGAGCCTGACTCCAGGGCCTCTTGAAGAGGGAGGACCATCCCTCCCATCCCTGCTACAGAGGAAAAGAAGGCAGGAAGGCCAGTTCTGCTCCGATGGGACCCCAGGAGACCTGAGCCCTCAGCCCAGCTCTTCCACTTACTACTGTGTGGTGCCAGGCAAACAGCACAACCTGGAGTTTTTAGTAAGGCTCTGTTGGGATGCTTGTAAGCAGTGAATACAATGTCTGTTCATTGTCATCAGGTCTCACCTGGAGCAGCCTTGTTACTGTGGGGAAAAGGAACCAAGTGAAGGGAACCGACCTCTGATGAGAGCCTGTCATGTGCCAGGCACCATTCTAGGTGCTTTGCATTCCTAATCTCATCATAATCCCACAACTACCTAACCGTTATCTCCATTTTACAGAGAAACCAAAGACAGTAACCAAGTCTGAAATAGAACCCCAAGAAGAAGCTCTTTTCCTGAGCTACCAATGCCCCCTGGAGAGGCAGGGAATTGGGCTGGAAGAACGGTGGAATGGAATAGCAAAGATGGAAGATGACCCTGTCCTTTCTGGGTGGGGTCCAGAAGAAATCCAGGGCTTGGATGAGGGGTAGACCTGGGAGCCTTCTCCAAATCGAGCTCCCCAGTGGGAGCAGCTGGGGCCACCCTGAGATGGGTCCACCTGTCTTTCTTCCATTCCACCTCTAGAGATTGATTGGGACCTAAGAGACTGAGTCAAGAGAGGGCAAGAGGGCAGCTAAGTAAGCGGGAAGTTCCAGGGGCAGCAGAGCAAATACATTGAGAAATGGGAAATATGAAGAGCATGCAAAATCCCATCCTACTCCTACCCACCCTACTCCCAAGGGAAATTGCTGGGTTTTGGACGAATTTTCACTTCGTGTGCATCTTTTATGTATGTAAAACTACAAACATACTACTTTGAAATCTGATTCCACTATTTTAGGTTTGTCTTACCATGTTATTATGCATTTTCCTACATCCAAAGCTACCTAGTATCTCTTTTGTATGAAGGTTTCATCATGTATCCCCCAGTGCCCTTTGGTTATTTTTCTTTGTTGTCATTTATTTTGGTGGGGGTTGGTTTGCTTTTTATTGTTGTTTTTCCTTGTTTTTATAAGTGATACAGTGACAGATGTCGTTGTGGATAAATGCTGTGGCACAGTCATGATCAATTCCTTGATACATATTCCTAGAAAGTACACCAAAGGGTATGCATGGCTTAGGGCTTTTGATACTCTCCAGAGTTGGGATACCAAGTTACACTACTCACTCCAGTCAGGATGAGAGTTTTTTGAGACAATGGTGGCGATTCTGATTCAATAGATTAAAAAACTTATTACTACCTTTCATTGCCTCAAACTGGGTGTATTTCCCTTCCTTCAAGATCAATATAATATTTAACCCATCACTTTTCTAAAATGTTTCCCTTAAAAAAAAAAAAAACCTACAGCACCTGGTATTCCTGGCAGTTTCCCCTCCAAGCACTAACCAGCCCCAACCCTGCTTGGCTTCCAAGATCAGACGAGATTGGGCACATTCAGGGTGGTATGGCTATAAATGCATATTTCCTTCTTGACCATCTCTATTTTAAGGCTAGAGCTAACTCTTTTTCCTAGGAGAGAGAACTTGATCCTTTCCTTCTACTCTACTTTACCTATCCCTGAGTCTCACAACGGGTTTGTCAGTCTCTCAGTTTGATAGGTTAAAATAGTTTATTTTGATCTTTTATTTTGTATTCCTTTGAATACATAGAGGATTAAATATTTTCATAGGCCTATTGCTTAGTTGTCCTTCTGTTTTCAACTATAGAGAGTAATTTTTTTTTTTTTTTAAAAAGGAAACGAGATATGCCTTTTATCATTCAGTGATGGGTAGCAACTTCAGGTGAGGATGTCAGTTTGAACTAACTTGAAAGAACACCACCCTAATCCACTGCTTCCCCACCTTCTTTTCCAAACACACCATAATGATGGATAGCATATTTTAAAAATATTTTTAAAATAGTAGCCATTCTCAAAAGTGTAACAAGAAACCTCTAAGACCCAGAAGCAGAAGGAATGCAGAGCAGTAAATGGGACCTGAAGCTTCATAGCCCTTGGAAGCTAGCAAGGGAAACAGGTCTGAGAAGCTAGGAAAGAGAGCTAAACTGTGGGCAGGTACTGCATGTGATAGGGAGCCAGAACTAGGTGTTCTGTATGGGTCTAGGTGGTAGGAAAATGTTTCCATCATGAATGAAAACTAGAATATCTTGATCTATCCACCTCAGGTCTCTCCTGAAAGTGAGTCCCCTGCTTAAACCATGGTTTGAAATGAAGTGAAACATCTAGACTCTCAATTCCTAATTCTGCACTGTGCTCAGTGCAGGGTCTGGATTTGTACCAATATGCCAAAAAAACAAACAAACAAAAACAAAACCTCAAGTGGTGAGTGGGATATGTATATACACAAAATATACCGCTGGGCCCCTTCAGTTAAATTAAACAACACTGAAGACAAAGGAAATATCCTAAAAGTCACTAGAGAGGAAAGACACATTATCCATAAAAAGAAAAGCAAGCATCATCCACAACAATGGGTGCCAGAAGACAATGCATCAGTAAGGGTTCAGTTGCAGGAAACAGAACTCACTGTAGCTGTTTTAAACAGAAGTTCAATTGAACCATGGACCAGGTCCTTACAAAATTATTTCAAGGCCGAAAGAGAGAAAGGTAGGTTGGGCCTCTAAAAACACTCCCAGGGTACCACAGCAGAACTGGCTCATTAAGGTAGGTAACACTTGTACTCAATTCAGATGGTAGGAAATTGGGAGCCCAACACTGAAGCTATTAACTTCAAGAAGACATTCCTGTAGCTGTGATTCAGAGATCAGAAATCTACTGTCATATCACAACCACCCTTTGACACCATGAAGCTAGTTACAACACAAAGGAACACTGAAGCAGGAAAACATAAAGTCTGCATGACTGTGTTCACAAGCAGAAAGACCCAAAGAAGCAGGAAGGTGGCTGCTGCTTCCCATCCATCATTTCAGTCTCACCCAAGAGTACCTAACTGGTGGGATATCATTCATATTCAGAACCTCCTACTACAGGGTAATCTGAGAAATACAGATTTGGACTTTTCTGACTGTGAAGTCCAGGAAGGTACATTAGGGGATTGGGATGGTTACTTAGTCTCGATTTTCCATGTGTCACAATGTCTTCAAAGCATGACAAGAAATCCATAAGCCTAGAACTTATGAAAAAATGTGAAATGAACACCTTCGGACACATAGAAGAACTTGGACATTTTACTATCCATCAACTCTTGCTGAAATAATTACTGAAAATATGTATGTTAGCAATAAGAACGAGAAACCCACAAGGAAGGAATGGAAGTCAAGAAATAATAGCAAGTAAATGGTAATTAAAAGGGGTTTAAAAATATCAACACACATTGATGGTTAAGCAAACAAGGAAGGAGAAAAAAAATAACATATTTATTGAGAACTTACTTTGTGTCAGGTACTGCTCTAAGCACATTACATGTACTAAATAATGTAATGCCATGACCCTAAAACAGAAACTTACATTATCATTCTTTATAAACATGAGGAAACTTGGGCTCAGAGCAGTGAAGAAACTTGCCCAAGGTCACACACCTGGAGGAGCAAAGATTTGTACCCATATAGTTTTTATCCTGAGTCTGTACTCTCAGTGTGTACTCACACTTATAAAAAGAGGGATGGGTAGAAGGAAATGTATGGAGAAGGGGAGGAGAAAAGTTTTCTGTGCACTCATAACAAGCTTATACTAAAATTCAAAACAATAACATGAGAATTGTGGAGATAGAGTGCTGGGGGAAGATAACATGGGTAAGGCTTTTGTTTTGTCAGGAAGAGAATTGAGCTGCTGAATAACTCGAAAAAATATAATTTTTAGTGTGCATGTTTAAAATTTAAGGTTAGGAAGATCCTGGGAAGGTGGTGGAGTAGGAATCAGTCTCCCCATTGAGATAAAAATTGCACTGACAGACCCTGATATAGCTATTTTGGAACT